AGAGAGAGAGAGAGAAAGAGAGTGCGGGCAGAGCTAACCAATACCATATAATTATCATATTACGATTATATTTATGATTCAACTTCAATTATAAATGCATACCCGGTCTGAATAATGTTTGTTGCAACCATCGGCGGGAAGATCTCTGTACTGCTTGTATTTACAATGATGTAAACCCACATGCGATGCGAAAAAGTGTATATTCTTTACGCCAGAATGAGCCCATGAATCTTCATGTCATTCGAGAAGCAATTTAAACGTGGTAACGAAAGAAGAATCAATTATCTCCACATCAACGTTATCGATTTTATTCATAATGTAATAGCCATAAAAAATGCAATAAATTTTTCACAAAGTAATGTTATACATTAGGCTTCTAGACTAGAATATCTTAATCTTTATATTATATACGTATAGGCGGTCAACAAATTCGATAAGGATGCCAGTAATGATACGGAATGAGAAAATTTCATCGCTCTTTACGCAACGCGATTATCGTCCGAGGATCTTTGAGGTCTTCGATCGTCTCCGGTATCAGTGTATCGACATCTTCACATTGCCTTGTATAGGACATAACAATATCCGAGGGAATAAGAACCATTGCCTTCCAGCAGAGTTGCGAGTAGTTACGAGCACATGGAGCAGGAAAAGAGGAAACGACGATCAGCCATCAAGATTTCGCGTTTTTAGCCTCGGGAATCAGAAGTACATATACGATATCGGAGGCATTACATGCCGAGACATTTCTTGCAAATAAAGATCCTACTTTTGATAAACAAATATTATAGGGTGATCGAGTCACGATATACACGTTTTCATATAAAGACAAATTAGCTATAGCATATGTTACAGCACGTTTTCAAGGAAACGTGTAAAAAAGGAAATTTCGCTAGACGCACGTCGCAAAGGGGGTATTATCATGACTATTAAATGAATCGAAGAAAAAAAAAAAAAGGATTTTATAAATAATTTTATGGATGCGCTTGTCAGACAAATATAAATCATTAATATCTTTCGTGACAGGCGGCGACAAGCGAGGCGGACAGGAGCAGAAATAATTCATAATATAATGTAAGTGAAATGTAATTTCCGTTGTACCACAATTATTGCGATACGCCACTAATTCGTGTTGCGTGCGCAAGATTTTTTTATTGGATAATGTTCTTTGCTTAGCAAATAACGTGGCGTCTAATTGCGATAAAAGGCTGTAAACGCGCAGCGCGCGCGCGCGCGCGCGCGCGATGTATCTCTGATGCGAATCAGCCGCGCGTGGCGATGAAGGACGGAAGCTAATTCCGGGATATGCCGATCGTGCAAATTGTCCTCCTCTTGCGCGCGCGCGTGCGAGATGGCGAGTGTAAGTACACGAGTACATAAGCGGGCGGACGCGGTATCGTCTCGGTACTGCGTACGAGTAATAATAATATAAATATGCGTAACCAGCGCCGAGAGAGCGAGAGCGGGAGAATCGCGAGGGAAGAGAATGGCGATGGACGAAGAGAATGCCCGGCAACGAGGCGACTCGACGCGGAATTGGGGGACGCGTAGAGACGGTTAGGCGGATGCGTCGAGTAATGTACTTCCGGTTATTGAACGCCGTCTGAAGGCTGGAGCGACTCCTGCTGAAAGTTTCGGGTCGCGCGCGTTCTCCACGCGCTCGTCGCAGGCTCCCACTCGACACCTGGACCTCGCCACTGCACGCCTCGAACCTTTCGACGCCGGGAAATACGTTTGCGAGGCCTCCTGGACGTAGCGTCCTGATTAAATACACCCGTTCGGGAAGAAGCGCATGGCACGAGGAAAAACATCTGCTTCGATTATTCCGCGCGGCACGCCGCTTCCAGTTACGTTACACGCTATAAAGCATCGCTATGACGTGATTTAAAGAAAGAATTGTTCGGCTATTAGAACGTAACGAACGCTTTGGATTTACGACAGTTAGTTTCACTCGATAAAAAAAGATGCTTATAGGAAGAGATATCCTAAATAATAATTGAACGTAACAACGACCAACTCTCTCAACTTTCGATTCGAAAGGATATCGATTGTCCTAATTTTAAAGATAGCACTGAGATTATCCGATTGCGTGTAAGAAAATTGCGGTATGCTAACGTAACGCATTGTAACCATTAAAAAGCATCAGAAATTCAAATTACCCGTTATCGCCATTCCGTTAATGTCACTTTAATATCAAATGATGCAACGTGATGGTTGCGTGGGATATACACGATCCGCATAAGATTCACATATAAAAGTTTTTCCTCACTTGGCTGAATCGCGTTTCGTAATTCCTCGTCGTTGAATGGTTCGGCACTGCGAGCGTTTTAACGTTCCCTCTTATTACCGGAGCCCGAAAATATTTTTTCGTCATTCTCCACGAGTACTCCATCGACCACTCGACGAAAACGTTTTCCAGTTAAAAGAAGCGAGATGATACACGCGTGCATAGCGGTCTGAATTGATGCAACAGCAACGAAAAGGAAGAAACCATGTGGGCGGTTCAGCCTTCAACGTTGCAATAAATCACTCTCGCCAAAGTAATGGAAATTTATGTCATAAACGTGGAGATTGCCGAGAGATAATTACCTCGCGCTGTAACTGACTTCACATGTTACGAAAGCGCGAGAATGGGATGAAACGATGACAAAGCAGATAACATATATTGTTATTGAAATTGTCGATACATGTCACATATAAATTGTCCCGAATCTATCGCGTACTGTCCAGTCATAGGTATATCTCGATAAATTTAAAGCCGACTTACCCTTAGCAAAACTTTCATATAAAACTGAGCACATAAATTAGCACATAAATTAAATTTCTACAGGTATACTCGTGATTACGACGGGTAGATATACCGTAAGGGGATGCCGAAATTATCTTTTCACACTCGTGACAGGCGACAAAACTTTACTTACAAAACGCGAAGCTCCAGCACGCTCGGTGGCTCGACTCGAACTGAACTCGTCCGTGCCGATCTCTTTATTCCGGTAGCCGACGACGGGATCGGTTGCCAAGTAACCAAAAAATCGGTAAATCAAAAAGATTCTGGTTCGCGGCGACGGCTAGCAATAACAATGAAACGAAAAAATTGAATAAAAACTGCCGCCACCGACGGAAATCTCCAAAGCGGCGTCGGCTCGCGAGTGTCGGCGAGACCAAAGAAGGAAGGCGACAACATCGGCTCGCCGCTTACAATACCAGGTGATATGCCATCTGCATTCAATTCTGCTTCCGTTTAGAATCTTAGAGTTACTGTGTCGTACTCTGTCCTGTTTCAGCTTCCACGCTCACCTCTTTCCTAATTCCACGGCTAAAGGCTGCTCGGTGTTTATGATACTCTGGTTAAAAAACGCTCCCGGCCACAAACGGAGAAGAATTACAAGAAGCTCTTATAGTAAATCAGCACTTAATGAGACAATGGGCCATGTTCTCTCTGAGGCGCGTCTTTACCTTGCCAGCGCTCTATAATTTTGGGGAACGCTCGTTGGTTACCTACCGAAGTAAACGCCCGAGTAAAGGTTACTTATTTCTACATCGCGCGTCATCCGCGCACAACCCACGTTGTGAAATGTGTTGACAGAGAAAGAAGATTGTCTCACTTAATACAATTGTATTTAGAAATTAAATTGCACAGCAATTGAGGAATAAGTCGCATTCCGAAAGGGTTGCACGCGTTAAATGCGGAAATTGCCCCCTCCCGATGCCGGGGAATTCTCGTGGAAGATACGCGCGTAACGTGAGATTTTTCAAACTGTCCGATCGTGAAAGGATCGGACCGTGAAAGGTCGGATCGGTATCGACGTGTGTACACGTCCGTCAATTTAGGATAGCGTCAGAGCGTGACGGTAGAATTATGTAATGCGTGCGTGTTGAATGTATGCGATCGCGTACATGACGCTTGGAAGTATCGTTTGTGGTTTGCCTCGCGTGTCTTTTTTTTTTTCACCCGGTGCACACGATGACTACAAAGGGTGGACAACGTGTTTGCGTATGCATACCTTGGAGGATTTGTTAGCTCTTTTTTCGCGGCATAACGTACCCGCGGGTGTTATGACGGAATAGATGCGATGCTATGACACGGCAGTTTTCCCTCGATAGTTTTTGTTAACCCGGTTTGCATCAGAGAATATTCTACGAGCACAGCTCAGGTCATTGCGACGGAATATTCCAGGCACTCAAAGGTCGATGATGCAAATGCGTTATTTTATCGATAGCAAAACGGATTAGCTTGGCGCTTTTATAAAAAGAGACATTGAATAATTGTTTTTTTTTTTCTCTGCGAGTACATAGTTTATATATAATTATAATTGTTGTGTATAAGTGAGATATTTCTTACATGCTAGAAATAAATCCATTCAAATTGCACATTTCCTATTTGAGAGTTCAACAAGTGAAAAATATATCGCGAAAGAATAAATGCATCTGAAATTAAAAAAAAAAAATAAAAAATAAAAAATAAAAATATTAAGGTAGATAATCGCCTTTAAAAAACGAAATCGACCAAAAAATTGTACAAAAATGTCAATGTCCGACGTTTCGCTCAAACGAACGATACGTCACGTTGTATTGTACCGAATCGCGTTACTCTGATTAAATGACATCGCATTAAAGTGCACGCGTGCGGTCATTACGGCGCATCGGTCTTTGTTTGCTATTCTTCTCGTTTTTTTTTTTTCACGCCTCTGTGAAAAAACGTAACGACTCGAGTCCAGCGTTCAATGAAATGTTTCACAAAGCTCGTTTCCCCGCCGACGGCGGCTCGCAACGACGGGTGCGGTCGTTACCAAAAAGATGCACGCGCACAGCTCGCCGCGTAAACGAACAACGCCGACGGAGTAATGACGATTTAATGGCACGTTCTGCCGACGTAATGATTTCGACGCGTACATGTCCGGTTGCGAGCAGCCAGATGGATATGGCTGATGTTGATCACGATCCCGAAGCGTTCTCCATACTGTTGCGGTCTCGCGTTAAAATTGTAAAATTATTATAAAGCACCTATACGCACGACAACATAATATTGTTGCTGATTATTTTATCATGACTCTGCATATATAAGCTACGTTCAATACTTAAATCTTTGTGCGTTTTCCGACGTCGAAAAAGATTTTATAATTCTTTCCCGCTACGATTTAATGAACGATCGTAAGCAAGCGAGTACTTATCAGTGGATTAAGCCTGCAACGGCCTCGTTGCATTCGTCGATCTGATCTGAAACACGTGAGGGCTTTCTAGAATACCATTCGCTCGTCATCGCTATCAACCGTTCCTCCATTAAGATCACTTCTCTTTTTAGAGTTTCAATCCTCAGCTATTATCAAAACAGAATATATCTCCGGATATAGAACGCGAAAGATTTCGCGAGTTTTAACGACGAATATGTTCGATAAATCCTGATATCTCAAAAATACTACGATGTGCACACATAACAAAGTTAATCGCGACTCATTGCCTTCAAACAAATTTATTTCAGACATTTTTTCAAAAATAACTTTCAATAGAAAAAAATTTCGGAAAGGGACGATGTAAAAATAGGGAAGAAAAGATTGAACAAATTTTTCTCTTTGTGTGTACGAGCAAAACAACTACTTAGATACATAAAAGTAAAAAAAGACATCGAGCATGTAAATGTTATAATTCTATCGAATAAAAAAAACTTTGATATTGGATTATAAAATCTAACAATTCAGAGTCGAGAAAAGCTAGAGGAGGTGGACGAAGAGATGCAACGGAGAGACGTGAAAACCGCTAAGTCGCGACGCGACGCGACGCGTCGTCGATTTGCATAGGCTAATGAATATGTTAAATCAATTTCACAAAACAAGCGGAGTCCATGGAAATGTAAGTGGGCACTGGTTGGTCGCGCGACCGCGAGGAACGAGGCGCAGAGGCCTGTTATTATTGTAATTGCTGCGCGTGTAAAACCGCGTGTGGAAAATGAGCCTAATGTGACGTGTGCGGGCGGCGGTGTACATATCACGCACTTGCTCGCATGTACAAACGCACGAACGCGGGATAAAGTAGGAAGCAAACCGATACTAAAAAAAGCGATAAAATAAAGACGATCAGTCATTGTGCTAAAATTTCCGATTTGATCAAATGTGCCAAGCGACAAGGCTCCCCGGCGTTAAAATCTATTTCAATCTTCAATTTTTCAAAACGAATTCTGTAAAATTTGCCAGTGCTTCCTTAAAAGTTAATTAGCTCAGCTTCTCTTCGGAAAAACGGCTTATCACTGCTTATTAGAAACCACGAGCGATGATACATGTCTTCCAAAAAATGGAAAACGACAAGAGGAATAACACATACACGGAAACTAACTAAGAGAGAGGACACGATCTTCAAGGAGAGAATGAAATATGACAGAGACAGAGGAAGAGTCGGCCTCGGTGTGCGATATGCAAAATCTCTCGTTCGTTTAACGAGGGAAGCGAATCTCGAAGAGCCATTCCTCCAAAGCCTTTTTCGCGCGCTGTGGAGGAGGCATTCTTCGTGTGCGTCCATATGTCGGGTAGCCGCGGAACGGACAGAAAGAACGGAGCGAGAAAGTGCGAGTATAAAGCGAAGAAAAGAGAAAGACGGAGAAAGAAGAAAGCGAGTATAAGAGAGCACTCGGAAAGCAAAGACGAGTCAGAAGACCGGCGAGCGGTAAGCGCCCCCTTCTCGCCCCATCTTCTTCTCTCGCCCTGCAGCTGCTTCGAAAAACTGCTCCTCCGGGCAAACCCAGAAAAACTGCTCTGCCTAACGAACCATCGCCCATTCCCATTTAACCGGGAACGTAGCCAGTTACGTTCGCGCAAGACGATACGACGCGACACGTCAAATCTTCCTCGTTAAGTCATCTTTTATTGCAATGTGCAAATTCGTCGTGCCTTTAATATTTTTCCTAAATTGGAACTAATTTCTCCGCTTCTCAGAGGGTATATCGTAATTTCTACCATACCCTTATCACACAATTGTCCTATTATATCCTTATCAATTAAAAATCAAATTTATTAGTCTTAAAACACACGTGATATCATACGTGATATGTTAATAATACTAATATATCGTGTGAATCATATTCGGCTGTGTGCTTGAATCAAGACGAAAAGAGGCTAAGATATGATTAGGTTTCAAATGATTTTACAGCGGCAATGTTGAGCTACGTGGATCGTTTATACGGGATGGATTAGCGAGGCCTCGCTACCGCGCTAACTTGTGCCATCCCTTATCACAGCCGGTTGGATCCTCGTCGTAAATACGGTTGCAACAGCTTATAATCCGTAAATACATAGTCGACAGAACGACGCTCCGACTCCGTTTCCCCTTCTCTTCATTTCACCCGGTTCGTCACGGCTATGCAAATACCGACAAAGTAATGGGTACTCGTCGCTCCAATAAACACGTTCATCCGCCTTTCCAAACGAGAAAGAGAGCGAGAAACAAAATGCAATGTTGGAGAAGGGAAACTAAAAAAGGTGAGGCGCGTTATTGCCGAGATCATGAATTCGCCGACGATCCCGAAGCCGCGTATAAAGTCGAGTCGGGCCGAGTCCGGTTGTCCACGCAAAATTGCGCCCGGGCAATATCTTCGCGTGAATATTCGCGTTCTCGCATTAATACAGAAACTCTCCGAGCGTGCGGTTTTTCTGATCCAACCTGAGAGATGCTTGTTGAGGACGGTTCGGAGAACCGGTTCGCCTGGCATAATCGTGTGGATAAATGACAATTTGAAACTTAAAATTACGCATCGGAGAAGAATCCGCGGTCGCTCGCGTTAATCAAGCGCGAAGCGGATTTCAGAACGTAATC